CCTGAGCAAACCAGAATGAATGGTCTCCTGCAAACCAGATCAAATTCTTTTGACAAACCATATTTATAGATTTCAGTAATTAATTATAGCACCTCCTGCAGAGTGAGACTGTAAGGAATCATACCCTTTTAGGGAAGTGAGTTTCACTCTTGCCACTCCCCCACAAAGTGCAGACTAGTGTCACTGGAGAACTTGACCATTTCTAATCCCTCTCTCAGCCACTCTTACTTGATGAACATAATTAGAAGAGATGACCTAAGAATTAGGCATAACTTTTTTAACCAGAAAGATGACTCTTTTAGGACATGTGCTAGTGTTTATTCAGATAGTCCTGGCACACCCAGGTATTGTTTATAAACCACCTCCATCACCAGTTATATTGGGTCATATGCTAAGCTCTGTTATCATGAAATAACAGGCCCCCTGGTTGGCTACTCTCCTTTCTCCAGAACACAGGCAACCAGCACACAGACACATACCAATCATTCTTTGACTTCTTATCATGAAATGCTGAGCACAAGGAATCATGAGGATAATTAAAAAGAGAAATTACAAAGGCTGGGAAATGGAACCATTTTGTTCCATGCTGTTGCTTTGTCACTGGGGACTTTTAAGGGTCTGCTGCAAAAAGCAGGTAAATAGGACTTTTGGAGTGGGTTAGAGCCAAATCATGGCATCAAAGTTTGTCTATACCCACATCTCTTGGAAGGTTCATGAGCATTGACCTGCTTTCAAACGCATTGCTGATGCCAACTTAAACATTTAAACACCTTCTTATAGAGCAATGGATTAGAATCCTAATGATGTATAATGGAATAAAGCATATTTTCACCTTTTCTTTCTGTCACTTGTACTTTATCATCTGAAGAAGTGAGATTTCCAGTCTCAGGTCCTTAGCCCTTTATTTTCTATTATTTTTCCACTAGCTTAGTCCCAGCTCTGACTACAGATGTAGGAAAACCAAAAACCAAGTAAAAGTTGCATAATTTTCTCTCAATACTATGACATTTGTGGGGGCACTTTTTCAAAAGCAGTGTCTAGGAATATCTTAGCTCATGACAATGGGGCATTTGATGAGTATTTCTGTTCTTTCTGAAAACCATTGAAGCCTCCAGATGTCCATTCTTCCCGGATTGGTTTGGAAGTAGATATACAGTCCCACATTCATCTAGGGAACTCGCTATGTTTCCCATCTTGTATTGAGCATTGTTTATACAATGCTATGTGAATGTTAAAACCTGCGCCTCCCGCCTAAAGACAGCAGAATTCAGTATAATTAGAACGTATTAAAGGAGATCAATGAAAATGTTTATTTTAATATTCAGTCAGGGAAAATTAAAAGTAACATTTACTGGGAAGAGTATAAGTTATGTCATTAATTGTGAGTGACTAAGTAAAAATTAAAGAGAGAAATATCTAAAGACTATAATTAAACTCAAATTGAATATAGATTGGGGAGATAAGAGTTTTTTGCCTTAAGTGGCAAGATTGTTTCTAACAGTAATGATAATTTGAGTATGTCACCGTACCATACTCTGAGAGGATACAGAAATGTGCCAAGGGTTCTGCTGTCTATGATCTTAGGGTCAACAAAAGGGACTGGAATAAAACAAATAATCTGAAAGGCATACCTAGTAATGCAACCTACATATTTGTCTTATATGGTAGCCATAAATACTAAGTAACTGCTTACTTTTACAAGTTTGAAAACCAACATGCAGAAGTAAACACTATATAAACATTTATTAAGTAACCCAATAAATAGAAATAATATGTGTGTGCTAAAATAGGAACAAGCAAATATAACATATAAAGATTATAAACAGATAACAATGGTTGTAAAGATCTAGGATAAGAAGAAGAACACATATAATTGATGAGAAAAATTGACCACAGAACTCCAAAAGGAAGTATTAAAACAAAAGGAAAAATCACTATCCTAGTAATGAAGTTGGGATAAATTTATATAATAAATAGTAAATAGATCCTGATGGTAAGAACATAGAGTGGAAGATTGGGCTTTAAAAGTGAGTTGTCCAGGAATGAAATGCACAGAATACCTCTGCAATATTTGTTAGCTTTACAGTGTTTGGTGATGATCAAGAAAAGCAAATCACTTTTGGGGTAGTCAAACAGTCTTACCAGAGTCTTACGTGCACTTATGTAATGGTCACTGAAAATTCTCATATACTACTTAGTAATTGTTATGATTATATTAGAGAGATAAGAAATTCTTGACATAGGTATAGCTTTTCATGTTCAAGTTAACATGCTTAGTCTGAAAGATACTGATTACAAATTCTGCAATCTGGTTAGCCAACAACTTCTGAACTATCTCCCTTGTCGTTCCTTTCCAGATCAAGTTTACAGATAAATTCATTGTAGAGAAGTCAGGATTAACCCTATTTTCTTCTCTTTGAGATGAAATTTTCTCTGTGTTCTTTCTCCAGCTCACGCATTCACTGCTGCTAAATTGGAAGCTGATTGAGGGCAGAGTCCGTTGCTTTTATCTCTATAACCTCAGCATGTAGCACAGCATCATACAATTAAAACCTTATGTACTGGATTAACTGGATTGAGTAGGATCACAGTGAATAAGGAACAAAACACTCCCCATCTCTTAGAATTTTTAAAGCACTTATGTGCATATGAGGTAAAAGGTATATAGAATGACACTATCATGTATCCCAAATAATCCCTATCTACCTCCAGTTTTTCAAAAGCTACCTTGGATAGAGACAGCCTGTATCCCAAATAGAGCACCTAAAAGGAAATCTGTAGAAGTGAAATTGAAATTTTGAAAAGCAATGATTTGAACAGCCCTTGTCTTGACTGTTGAGGAACAGATTTTTGTTTCGTTTTTTCTTAATGGAGAATGGGACTGGGAATGGGAGAGGGAGAAGTAGATGGGGTGGGAGGGCAGGAATGGTGGGAAGAATCACTATGTTCCTAAAGATGTACTTAAGAAATTTGTACTCATTAAATAAAAGGTTTTTTGGGGGAAAAACAGCCCATATTACAAATAGATATATTTGATTAGAAAAATGAAAATGATTTCATCAGGGTAGGCTGGTAGAATATCGTGAATAGATTCCATCATCGTCTAACTTAAGTAATACCAGTTGAAATTGCAAAGCTTTAAATAAAATTTGTATAAAAATAGCACATCATGTATACATTGTTAAAACCTTTTTTATCACTGGGGTAGAGACCCAGAAAATTTTGTTGAAGCAATGGAGGAGACCTTCTGTGCAATTAGTTCAATTTAAGAGACATTAAAAAATTAACTTATCATCCATTAGATTGAGGTAACAATTACATGAATGTCATTATATATTTGTATCAAGGAAAAGACGCTTGAAGTCTAAATAACATGCTAGTTGTCAAGCAGCTAGCTGTTAATTAGCAGTGCGTTATTTTTAAAGGAGAGTCTTGTAACAAAGCAATACTCTGAAAACTCCTGATTTTTTTTTAACCAGTGGTATTTAAATCCACAATCTTTGGATAAATGACAGTTCTAATAGTTTCTTAGGAATGCATAGTTGTGTCACTTTATTCAGTTAACAGATGTGTCACTTTATACCTTCATTTATTACATATATATTAAGAGCTAAGGCATAAAAGGAAAAAATGACTTTTTAAACATGTTTTCTCAGTCACTTTAATATCCTAGGCAATGATTGGGAGAGTCTTCTTCTCATTGAAAATTGATTTTGGCCAAATGTGTTTGAAATAATGACCATGGGAATTGTAACCGAAGAATTTTCCTAAGAGATTATCAGACATGTGGTTCAACATACATAGAGTGCCTAGAATTGGCATGGGTTTACTTGCTCACTTCTTCATAAAATTATTCTTTAGGAGTCAGATGGCACTCATGGAAAAAGCATTTGTGTTCTCTCTGCTTTTACTTTCACCTGTTTCATTATATCTCAGTGGATGTGGCTATGAAATAGTCTGTTGAGCAGTTACAATGATTCATAAGAAGAAAGTATTTTTCTTCTAGACTTATAAGACCTTGGAGACTATAAAGATTTGAGGATTTTGTCAAGCATAAAGCTACATAATAAGCAGACATAAAGGGAGTACGTATCAAATGACTCCATCTATGTCAAACTCAAGAACAGACACAGCTAATCTGCAGAAAGACAAGTACTGTATGATCTCACTCCTATGTGAAATCTGAAAAAGTCGATTTTGTAGGAGTTAAAAATAGCATAGTCGTGAGCAAAGGCTACAGGGAGAGTATAGGTGTAAGTAGAATGGGGAAAGGTTGATCTAAGTTATAATTATATAGGGATAAGAAGCTGTGGAATTTTGTTGCACACTAAGGTGACTCTTGATAGCATTCAATATTTTTAAATAAAGAAAAACCTAAGAAAGGATTTTGAGTGTTTTCATCATAAAGAAATGGTAAGCATTTGAAGAGATAGACATGTTTACCCTAATTAGACATTCTGTACGTATATGCGAATCAAAACATCACATGCTATGCTATAAATATGTTGTTTTTATGTGTCACTTAAAAAAAAAAAAAAACAACTAATCTATGCTTTTGTTGAGAGTGGTTACCCTTGGGGGCTGAATGACCAAAAGTAGCCATTCTGGGGCCAGGGATACCGATAGATGTTTCTGGGGGTGGACGCTGGTTGCATGTGAGGGTTCAGTTTGTGGAAAATCATTTGTCTTTTGAGTCCATGCTTTACCTTACTAAAAAGTCTAATACAGAAATAAATAGAGCAAAAGGAATGAAAAACATTCAGGTTCCCTTTACCTATTTGCCAAAGTATATTCTAACAGCACTCATAACTGTTACCAATCACAATATTCAAATTGTCCCAAACCATAAGACTTTAGCAGCAGAACCATATTGGGTCTTCTGGCTTTTTTTTTTTTTTTTCCATCATAAGCTCTACTCATCTAAAAGACCCATGACGTAGACTACGGGGGAAAGCCTGTTTTCCTTTCTCTGTGCGCTAACACCATGTGCCGTGTTACAGGCGAGCTTTGTGAAGAAAAGCTTGACTTCTGTGCCCAGGACCTGAACCCCTGCCAGCATGACTCCAAGTGTATCCTGACACCAAAAGGCTTCAAGTAAGTCAGAGGCTGCCTTCAGCCCCACAGTCGGAGGAGGCCTCTTCCCCACTATCGTTAGCTTCACCCTCACTTGGGATTAAAGGAACATATTCACTGGTGTCAGTGGTATTTTATTGTTACAAATATTCATAGGCAGCTTGGAAACTTTCTAGTACAATAAAGAAAAATTTTAATGAGTGTTCAGTTTTGTTGCATAACTCTAGGAAGTCATTTACAGAATAAAGCAGCCCTTGAAAAGGTTTTCTTTAAATTTTGTGAAGGCCAATCCAGTTACACTTGTAATATCTATAAGGTGCATCATTATCTGAAAGTAAGTTCCTGGTAAAGCAGGGAGTCTGATTTTAACGTACCTAAAGATGTTATGTTCTGAATCAACACTTTGACTTTGCAAGATGCATAAGACAGACGGACTCTATGTTCCAGATAGGTTGCCATGGCAAGGCTCAGGTACAACTCTTGTCTCACTGTAGTTGTTGATAATGCCCCTTGCACCTTATCTGTGTCCTGTGTGGGTCCATAAAGGAGTACAGTCTCACTAGGTAGGAAGCTCCCTTCAGTGAGCTCAGAATTTCAAAATTGTTCCTTTTTCCTCCCCAGCAATATTTCTGAAAAATGTTTGGTATCAGATTACATGATTCCTTTGCCTGAAATATTTTAAGAGGCCTTCAATAGCAGCTTCTCCTTTTAGATCTGGCAGCTGTGTAGACATCATCTAGCCCAAATTCCTCCTCTTAAACGGGAAACCATGGCCCAGAAAGGGTGGTTGGCTAGCCAGAGATCTGTGGGCTGTTTATCGGCGGAGCAGGGACTGGGTTTTATGCTTTCCATTTGGGTGATTTTTCTAAAGAGGATTATTCAGAAAGTTCATGGAAAATATATGTTATCAATAAACTGTATTTGAATTTCAAAAGATTTTTTTTACCCCATTCAAGCTTATCTTTTCATTCCAACATTTGAATTCCTCTCATACATATTTCTTCTAAGAAGTTATATAGTTGGTTAACATCGCTTCTCAGCCTTTGGCTAAGATCAAGTGTATAGTCTATTAACATTCTGTTTGGTTTGTTATAGAAAATAATCTGGCTTCCTAGGAATGACACCGTTGAGTGCAGGAGTTGGGCAGTGCTTACATCAGCTGACTAGCAAACAGCCTTATTTGTTCCTTCACACAGTATTCCTTGAGTGGCTGCCATGGCCGGTCACATGGTAATAATGCCATCTTAGGTTTTTGTAGAGCTTCATAGCTATTCATTTCCACATACTTTGTCCTCTCAGTGAAATGTCCCAAGCTTAATTTCCATGAGAGTCAGAGAATTAAAAATGACTCAAATCAGGAATCGTTTGCTAAGAGGATATTTGGATTGGAGCTGGCACACTGAGATGTTGATGCGTACCAAACAAGGCTTCAGTCGGATGAGGGAACGGGTCATTACCACCAGCTCCTCACTGTGTTTCAAAGATCAATCTGAATTAAATATTTATTCTCAAGTTCTCTTTCGGCAGCATTCTTTTGTTTCAAGTTCATTTAAAATCCAAAATTTTAGAATATACAAATACAGTTACTATACCTGCTGATCCTGTTTGATGTGTTACTGAAAAAGATTTGACTCTTCTTTCATTGTGTTTTAGCTTACCCTTGTTTGTAAAAACCACAAGATGCAAGCTTTTTTACTTTACACAAAATTCTGCATTATATTTTATTCAACCAAATACTTTAGGGAAATTGTTTGAACTCCTAATGTCTTTGATCTGCCCACAATTGAATTTGACAAATTGAAAGTGCATCACTTACATAACAAATATAATCATTTCTCGGAGAAATTAGTAAGGCAAGATTTCTTGGACTGCTTATCGGCTAAACAGATTTCACAGGGCTTTGTGCATTGTAATTATCAGATAAGGTATTAGTAAGACTTAATGGAAGCCATTAAAAGTAAGGGAGTTGGTCTTCAAAAGGACTAATCCTTAATTAAACATCCTCTATTATTACCAATTAGATTGCACACTCTTAAAAGTACATTTTGTTGGATTATGGATTAGCTGATTTGGAAACCCACCGTGTTCAGCAGTGAGTAATGCACAAGCTTATTTTATAGCAGGATCTAGCATCGCAGAAAGTGGGTTCAGTGGGAATATGTGCTGTTACTCCCATGCCGTAAATAATTGAACATTGTGAGAAAGGTAGTTGCAGAAAGACAAGGGACTTAAAGCTTCACATCAGAAGCTGCTGAGGAAGGCCTACTGACAAGGGTTTGGTTGGAGAAGTTGTTCTGCTACTTCAGCCTTATTTTCTTACTACGGAGCTAACAGAGTGCGCTTTGCTTTTCTTGCTGGATTATAGAGCTCATAAATCTCCTAAACCACTTTGAAATATTTTTAGACTATAATATGCCATGAGCAGACTTTTCCAGCATGCATCTTGCTTAGCCTGCTTTTGGGCTTCTAAAAGGTATATTTTATATTCTGTACTTTCTTCCTCACTCCTTTTCAGATAATAGAGTTGAGGGAATGTGACAGGTTTTATTGATAACACAAACTTTAAGGAATTCGTATTTAAATGTTTTCTTTCTGTTTTGAAACTCTATCTGAGGAGCAAAAGAAAGACAAAAATGTTGGTCATAATGTAACTCCAAATTCTGATGGGTTTGCCAAAGTAGTATTTGGAGAGAAGAGAATATCAAATAGCTCTTAGCCAGCCACCGTGGTGAATGTGTGGTTCTCTTATCTTTTACTTTGATTTCTTTTCTCAGATAAATAATTCAGAGTGTTTCAAAGCATTTCTTCTTTCTTTTAATGCTTGGCACTTCAGTGGCTCTGCTCACATTAACATTGATGGAAGTTCTCTTTTCAGGACTTGTCCATCTATTTCAGAATGTGTATGGCCACTTAGGATCCATTTAACTTAAGACATGTTGTTTACTTTGCTTTATTATGATTTAGCATTAAAACCAACTGGCTGCAGAGCAAGCATGCTCACGCAGTGAGCTCATTTTATTTCTTAATTCATACATGCAGAGCCAAAAGTCTGTTTGTTACTCTTAGAAGAGTACCTAATCCCATTTGTTTTAATTCATAAGCTCTCCAATAATTCTTAAATCCAGATTTCGCATTTTCTGACAAAACTCTTGGCACTCTAATGCCACATTCATTTGGGTGTTTTTAATTACCATTACTCATTTAAATCCTAATAGCCTTGAAATGAAAAAAAAAAAAAACAAGTGGGTTACTAGTACATACTGAACCATGAAGATTTTTATAAAATTATGAAAAGTTTATATACAATTATGAAAAATACCAGCCACTTTTTGGTCATGTAGTATACATAAAAATTATACTGATTACCTTAGACTTTGGTTTTATTTAATCTTTTAACAAGCCTGTGAGGTGGAAATTATGATGTTCATGTCACAAATGAGGAAAAGAACACTTGCAGATTAAGAATTTTGTCTAGATTACACTTTATACTAAGAGAAGCCAGACACAGAAATACAAATATTGCATTATCTCACTTATATGTGGAATTTTTAAAAATTAAACTCATAAAAACAGAGTAAAATGATTACCAAGGAATTGGGAATGGGTTAAGTTGGGAAGATGCTGGTCAAAGGGCGCAGGTGTAAGATGAATAGTTCCGGGGACCTAAGGCACGGGACAGTAACCAGTTGATAATGCTTGTATATTCTTAAGTACTCTGGAAAAATAGTAATGATATATTAGAAGAATATAAAATAGAATCTTAAGGATGAAACCAAGATACAAGCTTGATTCTATGTAACTGCATATACCAACTGTATGGAGCTAAGCCATAAGCTTCCTGGTGTATGTTTGATTGTTTTAAGTCATTGCATCCTCTATTAAACCTAGAACAAAAACACTCAAACAGCCCAATGTGCAGACTTACTAAATCACAACAGGAGAGTGTTAGGGTAAAGGTACAGGGAGTAGAGAAGCTTCCACATGCCTCCTGCTACTCCACGGCCATACCCGTAAAGGTTCCGGGTCCCTGTGGATCCACACATCATCATGTGAACCCTGCTACAAGTGCCATACTGTTTTCCCCAGGCAGAGATAAAGTCAAGTCCTGGGCCCTCAATGTCATCATGATAGATTCCAGTGGTTAGCATTAAAGATGGGTTTTACAGGGAGCCCTGGGGAAATAATAATCCAATAGCGTAGTACAGTGGTTAGAATCCAGGCTCCCTTGTCGGGTTCAGTGCACTGGGCAAGGTAGTTCACTGTTATACCCCCTCGGTTTTGTTACCTGTAGAGTGGGTATAATGTTGTCACCAATGCCACAGGGCTAGAGAGGGTGCAGTGAATCCTTGTATGCCATGTGGTTATAACAGGACTTGCTACAGAGGTAGGGCACAAAGAATGCCAGCTGTGTTATTACTCCTGAGTCTTCACCATCATTGCACCTGGGGCTCCTTCAGCCTTCACTCCAGTAGACTGGACAGGCTGAAAGCTGTCCATGGGATTGACCCCAGGAATTTTGTATCAGTTTCCTATTTTTACTCTATTAAGGTTGGTATCATTCTACCCTAATGTTCATCTGGATTCATTGTGAATTAGGGTATCTTTTCTTAAAAATAGATTTTGTCCCCATGCATCTAGTCTCCACTGGAAAATAAAGAAATGTTAATGATTTTTTAAAATATGCTCTGTATTCTCAGAATACAGACATAGTACTTTTATCATTTTAACAGTCAAATGAATTAGGCAGACCTAAAAATAAAGGCAATTAGGCAAATAAGGTGAAAGGAAAGAAAGGTGAGGGCTGGGGGAGAAGGAGGACCTGCTGTAGTGATTCTGTTCTGACTTGGATTGTGGATTCCAACCACAGTCAAGGAGATGAAGTCACCACTCTGCTGCTAGGTCACCATGAGGAATGCAGCTGCGTTGTAGGCCAGCACTTTCTTCTAGGCATCCAGGAACTTGGAGACTTGATGAGCACATTCTGTAAGTTTTCTGAAGATACAGTCCTTTTGTTCTGGAGAGGATGCAGTTGTCTTTACTGAATTTGGCTCAGTTTGGTTTGAAACCGTTTGCCTGCTTGTCCAAACAGGTGTGACTGCACTCCAGGATACATAGGTGAGCACTGTGACATTGACTTTGACGACTGCCAGGACAACAAGTGTAAAAACGGCGCCCACTGCACGGATGCAGTGAATGGTTACACATGCACCTGCCCTGACGGTTACAGGTAAAAGCAGAAATACACATTTATCTTTAGAAGTAGGTGTGCCAGAACTCCCCTCCTCTCCCCCCCCCCTTACTTGATTGAGTAAATTTGATTTATTCGTTTTCTGTTTATTCTTTAGTGGCTTGTTCTGTGAGTTTTCTCCACCCATGGTCCTCCCTCGTACCAGCCCCTGTGATAATTTTGATTGCCAGAATGGAGCACAGTGCATCATCAGGATGAATGAGCCCATATGTCAATGTTTGCCTGGTTACCAGGGAGAGAAATGTGAGAAATTGGTCAGTGTGAATTTTGTGAACAAAGAGTCTTATCTTCAGATCCCTTCAGCCAAGGTGCGGCCTCAGACAAACATCACACTGCAGGTGAGATGCCCCTCTCTAACAGGAGCCGATGTGAATAAACACCCACGGTAGCTTGTGGATGATAGTATTCCCTAAGTAGACAGAGACTCATGACACAGTGACAGAACACGTTCCTTGTATAAAAGCCTCGGTAATTCTCCTCTTTGACACTTGTAATTTCAAGATGAAATGGAAACCAGGTATTTTTACTCACTACTTGCTCCTATGAAAAAACATACAGCAGCAAAATATGTTCCTTCATTTTATACTCTGGTAAAGGCATTTGGTTCCTGTATTTCTATGGCTCTGCAAGGGGGAAGCTGTCCTTAAGAGCAGGGAGCCGAGGAGCATGGGGTTGAGGCAAAATACTCGATGCAGCTAGCACCTGTTAACTCTCCACCCAGCACCTGGAAGAGAGGACCGGAAGTTAACCAACTTAAATTGGAAGTCTTTCCACCAAGTCATGGTGTACCTTTGAGGAAGTCATTCAGTCTCCCAAAGAAGAGATTTGACTCAATGAGGGGTAGTGAATTCAGGGCATGTGGGACAAATTGGGGCAATATGCTTATTTTACCTGGGAAACAAAATCCCTGAGTGAATGCGTATTTTGAATCCAAATGACCACAGCCAGTTTCCTGTAGGCTTGAGCCCTTCTCACTTGGTTTACTCTGACACTCAAATGAGAGGCAAGGGCTCTTTTGAAGTCATGGGTAATAGAATCCTGAGAGGCAGGCAGGCAGGCTGGCAGGATTGCTTTAAAAATCTGGCTCCCACGTCTGGCATTTGGCCAAGCAGTTAGGATGCCTGTGTCCCAAATCAAAGTACCTGATTCCAGGTTCCCTCCCTGGTACGGGAGTGACAAAAGCAAGTAAGTGGTCATCTCCAGCAAAGCAAGTTCTGAGCACATCCAACATATTCACTTCAGTAGTTGTTAGTATTCCTGTAGTTTCTTTGTGATTTTATGTAATTTAGAAATGAGTTTCCTTTTGAGTTGTACTTTCAGCATGTGTTGTTTTCTCATAGCAACAAGGAGAAAATAAACCATAGTAGAAGCTCTCCACTCCTCTTGAAATGTTTCTTTTTGATGAAGCATGATTGTTTGCCTGTACCTCCCAGTAATGCCAAGATTTCTTCCCACTAGATTGCCACAGATGAAGACAGTGGCATCCTCCTGTACAAAGGTGACAAAGACCATATCGCCGTGGAACTGTACCGGGGTCGTGTCCGTGCCAGCTACGACACTGGCTCTCACCCGGCTTCTGCAATTTACAGGTGAAGATCTCTCCCTTACTGGTAAAGGTGAAAAAAGATTGTTTAATGAAGAACTGCTTCTTGTCTGTCATTTTTCTAATGGGGAGTGGAGGGAATCATTTGACTTTAGCAAGTGTTGTAGTCCATTTATGTCCTGCTATAACAGCGTGTCTGAGCCTGGGTAATTTATAAGGAACAGAAATCTATGTGTTATGTGTCTAGAGGCTGTGAAGTTCAAGGTCAAGGGGCCTGTGTCTTGTGTTCACCTTCTTGCTGCATCATCTAAGTCAAAGCAGAAGGGAAAGAGAGCACACGTGGCAAGGGGTGGGGAGGTAGCCGAGCTCGTCCTTTCACAGGGAACCTGCACCTGCAGCCACTAGCCCACTCCCATAGTCACGATACTGACCCATTCCTGAGGCAGTCACCTAAGTTTCCAACTGTGAACTTGGTGGAAACATTCAAGCCGTAGCAGCCCGCTTCGTGATACCATTCGTGACAACACCAGTTCTCTGTCATCCTACAGACAAGTTACATAGCTAAACTCTTCATATGCAGAGGTAACTCCAACCCTGTGGAGACGGGGCCAGGCACCCAGTATTTCCACACAGTGAGCTTAAATTTCCAGATAGTGACCTTAAAGCAAATCTTTGTCGACACAGAACTGTGTCTATCCAGTTCTCCTTAGTGCTGCCAGTAGAAATGTGGGCCCAGGTTTTGTCAGACTCCTTGTTTTTCAAGGATGGAAGAATTATGATTTCTAGGGTTTTCATTTTTATTATTTTAAGTTTTGTGAATTTTTTATTTGTTTAAGGAATTTAAGGAAGTTTTTCTCTCCTTTAATGTAAATTGCATGCTTTAATGCCATTTAAGTAGACAAACCACATCTGTGCACCAAACACAAGTATCATTGGTAACAAGTGAGTGGGACTTAGCATAAAGTAGAGATTGCAGTGGCCTCAATCCTGCTGGCTTTATTCTTGTGTATGTAAATGTGCTTCAAAGGGTCTTCACATCTTATCTGCTCCCTCTTGATAGTTCTGGGAAAGCAGAAGCCAATTGTAGCCATGAATAGAACTCAGTATTCTGTCTGATGGTGAAGATTAAGAGCAGAGAAAAAACATAATTACTGGTTTCCAAGTGAAACACAATAGGTATTTTCCCACCAAATGGTTAAGAATTAGTGCCAACAGTTTAGATATTACTAGGCCTTTAATCATACAGCCTCTAAGTGTTTCACAGCCCATAAAATGATTTTATAAATTTGTGGTTCATTTTTTAAGAAATTTTTAATGTGTTTTACTTTATGCAGTGAAATGTTATATAGAGTCCTCAAAACCATAGTAAAATTCTGGGGTTGACTTATTAAACCTAGTGTTTATATAAAATGTTGGAAATATTTGTAGATAAGTAGTAGAAAACCAAGTTATATCCAAATGATGACTAACTCTAAAGAGCTTTCTTTGACTTTATGTTCACTACTGATTTTGTCTACCAACAATGGAGTGTACCCTGTGACATTGATAAAAACTATATCATGTTGCAGGTTAGTCATTGAGAACCACAAGTGCATGTTTCTGCTGGAAGATCATCTAGAGGTATAAGGTGTGAAGTCTAGGAGAAGCAACTATTATAAAAATAATCTCTGTTTATTTTCATTTATTTGAAAGATAGAGACAGGCAGGCAGGCAGGCAGGCAGAGATGTGCTGGTTTACTCTAAATACCCACGACATCCAGGGCAGGGCCAGGTCAGAGCCAGGAGCCTGGGTCTCCTGCCAGGTCTCCTACATGAGTGGCGCTTAAAGCATCACCTGCTGCTTCCCAGGCTGCACATTAGCAGGCAGCTGAATCTGAAGCTGAGGAGCTGAAATTCGAACTGGACATTTCAGCATGGGATGTGGGACTCGCAGGCAGGTGCTTAACCACTGTGCCAACTGACCACCCCGGAAAAAAGCTTTAGGTCTTGCCTTTTAGTTCATGGCACACCAGTCAAGAAAAGGTGTTAACATTACCTTTCAGTAAAAAGAAACCTCTCCCGAGAATTCAGAACGACATGTATAGTATATCTGTCTTTTTATATGAATTGTATAACAGTAAGAAAATTCGTAAGAAAAGAGAAGAAGAAAAACAAAGAAAATCAGGAAACTCTATGTGTGATATTGGAAGATTTCCAAGACATGCTGTTCATTTAAAAAAAAAAGCATGGCAAACAAGGCAAACAGTGTCAAAGAAAAATAACAAATAAATGTATTTATATTTTCATGTCTTTGCATAAAGATAAAGTGGGCATAGCAAGAAAAGAAAGCAGTACAAACAAGCCTTTTGTGTGAATGCCATTTTATGTCACTTTGATTTTTGTACCATTTAAATGTCATTACCACTCAGAAATAAAATTGAAATAATAGGAAAGAGCAGGTGCACTTAAGATAGTCAACTTGATGCCAGCCCAGCTCTGCTATCCATTAACCATGTGAATTAAGCAAGTCACATCAGCTTTCTGGACCTTTTCTGGTAAATGGAAATAACAAATAATAATGCCATGTTTGCAGGTTTGTAGAAAGAATTTTATGACTTTTTAAATTTAAAAATATACTTTTAAGATAACATATGCTTAACTTATATTATAGTGAAAGGCTTATGGTTATTTTTACTAAATAAAGAATTTAACAAATAAAGAGACCATAGTCCAGCAGGAAACTATTCCAGGGCTATAAACTAGAATCTAATGAAAAGAACTTTATGCTTTTGCTACATACAGAAGATTCAGAAAAATGCATGGGAACTAGTAAACAGTGATAGTAACTCTCATCAAAAATTCAGGATGTCCAACTCTGAATTCATTTCATTTGTTTCTTGCAAACCTGTTCCCTTTGCGTTCTCATTTCAATGAAAGACATCACCAGTTACTGAGGCATCACAAGTGTACTGGATTTCTTCTTTTTTTTTAAGCTTTTGAAATACAAAGAAATATGGAGAAAGGGAGAGGTAGAGAGAGAGACAGAGACAGAGAGAGAGAGTGAGACAGAGAATATTGCATCTGCCAGTTCATTCCCCAAATGGCCACAACAGCCAGAGCTGGGCCAGGCCAAAGCCAGGAGCCAGGAACTTCATCCAGGTCTCCCACGTGGGTGCAGGGGCCCAAGCACTTGGGGCGTCTGCTGCTTTCCCAAGCAGGGCGCTGGATCAGAAGCGGAGCAGCAGGACTTAAAATGACACCCATATGGGACGCTGGTGCTGCAGGCGGTGGCTTAAACCAATGTGCCACAGCGCCAGCCCCTCTGGATTTCTTCTTAATCTTGTTCCTTCTTTCACCTTCATTTGCAGCTTGCCCCAAGTCTTAACTCTCTATGTAAAATCCAGAAACCTCCAAAGCCTCTTACCTAATGAGCACTTTGTTTAGTTGAATCAATTTTTAGATCTTGATTATAACATTGGTAAAAGTACATAACACTGGTATTTTAAAAGTGTTTTATTTATTCTTATTTCAGAGAATTTATTCATTGTACCTCCCTGTAATTGCCACAATTTTATGCTGTAACATTTACTTTGCTGAAACATTGCTTTCTAAATTATGCATTGCTGAATAGGCTATTGGAGCATTATACATAGAAATAATTTTGTGTGTTGGGTACATCTTTTCAGCTGTCTGATTAATTTTCAACATTTGGGGAAATCCATTTATTTTTGTAAGTCAAATCTATTAAAATTAAGGAAAAGTAATGCATTAGGCTATTGTTTCTATAAAATAGTTTTAGTTTAAAATTTTCAATTTAGATGCCAATTATTTTTTAAACAATTCTATAAGAAGATAGTTATTTCATGCAATTGTATCTAGGCTGATAATCTGTGGCCCTTCAAAGTGACTTTCTTTTAACCTAAAGAAGGAGAAATGTTTTTTCTTATGTATTTGAGAGGCAGTTGCACCTACACACACACGCACACACACACACACACACACAGAATGACAGTGATAGAGAGAGACAGAGGGAGCAAGAGAAAGGCCTCCCAACTGCTTGCTTACTCCTAAGTGTCCACACCAACTGGGGCTTGGTCTGGGCCAGGCAGGGACCTAACTACTTCAACTATCCCCTGCTCTTTGCCAGGGTCTACCTTAGCGGGAAGCTGGAATCAGGAGTCAGAACGGGAATAAACGCCAGGTACTCCAAAATGGGATGCTGGCATCATGACCAACTTCCTAACCATTAGACCAGAGGCTCTTTCTGAGAAACTTTTTAAGTTGTTAATGAAAGTATAATATAGATAGATAGATGATAGATAGATAGATCAATTCAAACTAATGACCGAAGCAACGTTTTTCTATGAAAACATAGTCAACTACTGTTTAAAATTTAGGACAGTAATTAACCTAGCCTTAACCGTGCTTAGGAAAACCTAAGATATAGTAATTATTCCTCTAGTTCTGGAAGTAAAGCAGCATGCGTATTTTCTGACACAAGATCCTGGTTTCCTGTGGACATGTATACTGTTGGAACCAGGCATGCAAGCAGGGGTATGGAGTGGTTGGAATATATATAGCATGCATTGCACTTGAAAGGCATGTGCAAACATGGCTTGCTGGATACCAGCACTGGTTGCAAACCCCATAGGTCTCCAGTGGGCCTGAAAGTATTTGCATTTCTAACGAATTCCTAGGTGATGCCGTGCTCCAGTGGCTACACTCGGTAAACCACGTGTGGAATATATTTAAGCTGTGCTTCAAAAGCAGATGGTGAGCTTCGCTTCCCATATCCAAGGTCCCCAACATCATGCTTGCTGCCAGCATTGAAACAGGCCGTGCTGGAAGGATTTCCACTACAGAAACCAAGATATATTACAAATATCGGATCTTTTTAGTTCATTTTTTTCAGAGTTGATTATTTCACATTTGCCAACTCCTGGTTGACCAAAGGGCTATAACCAGTAGCAACTTAGATAAAATGAATGGCCTACCAAGTGAATGAGTATAGGATATGGGACGCATGTCTCATTTTATAGATTTAGACGATAGTGAAGTAGAAGTCAC